TCACTATTAGCGCACTTTTTTGCGAAAATTGCGAAGCACTTTCGCAACTTTTTTTAGGGACTGCGAAATAGCACTTTTTTCCGATTTTGAAGAGAAATAGCACTTTTTTTCGATTTTGAATGGAATAAAAATTCAAAGTTGACAAATATTTTTGTGTGCGTATTAAGTTGACAAATAAGTAACATACTAGTACTTTTGTAACTCAATTCTGCATATCATAACGATATTTACCGGAATTCTAACCTATGTGGTGAAGACATGGAAGATAAAGCTTTTGCATTAATGGCAAAATTCTTGTTTATAATATGATTATTATACAAGCACACTGATTCCGCTTCCACCGCGAAAACGCTCGGCGGCGTCTTTGAAACCAGATGTCCGAATGCAAGGCAGTGCGTTTCTCTAAACGAGAGTGGTCATGTGACTGTCAATGACATCGATGAATTGTGACCAAAGTACACGATTTTCTAGTACTGGTTTGACAGGTCTGTGTTCTCTTCTTAGTGAATTTACTGGAGCCATTCAGAAATTTCTGATACTCGACACGACATTGTTTAGTAATGGAATGTAAACTTGGGCCATTGTTTGTTAAATTAGAAGAAACTTTTAGCAGCATCTCACAGATTTGCAAAATCGCCAAATTGACAAAAACATACGTCGTATTAACATTTAACAGCCATTTTATTGTAACCACGAATGTTAAAAGCAAATGGCGTTTCGCGGAATTTTGCGATATTCAGTATTAGCTAGTCTAGTCATTCACGATAAATCAAACTCAGACCAGGGTCAAAAATCAATCTAAACTATTTCCTCATTAATATGCGAGTAGGGGTGGGCAAAATCGAATATTTTTTCGAATTGAATATTTTTAACGAATAAGGAATATTTTTTATGCACAGCAGGAGTCTAGAACGTCGGTCGAAAAATTAGCAAGGAAGCCTTTTCTACTGGTTAATTTCGTTATAATAGCTAATTGTTTTTGTCACCGCAATCGTTTTGGCGACTATATCCTGGGTTTGGCAATCCAGGCTTACGCGTGCGTTCACATCGGCAACAGCTGTTAAGGGCATTAACGACAAATTTCAAAACCAAAATAAACATTTGCGTTGACTTGATATTACCTATCAACGTTTGTAAATTTACTGTCCCAATTTTGCGAATGGTATTATTATTATCGATGCCGGAATGCAGATATTTAAGACGATAATTAACTTTTATAATTTTTTTATGGTGTCTGTATTAATTTACAGATAAACCTCGCAAATCTCAGATTGTGCCAATCCTGAATGTTGATTTAAAATTGTGATTAAATAATTCGGCAATAAAGGCATTTCTGCGTGGCCATAAGACGAGATGACTTTAATAAACAGCACTTCTTTAAGGATATTTTACATATGCGACTAATGCTAAAAACATTGGGCTCGAGTGCTCTGGTGCCTAATCAGGCGCTAATTGCAACTAATTCAACTCAAGTTTCAACGACTTTTTTCGTCTTCACGATATGTTATCTTTTTTTTCGGCTGATAATGATAAATAAAAAATGTGTAATTGTTGATTGCAATTCCGGAAAACGTATTTTCCTTCCTCACCATGAAACGAATTTAACCGCGGTTAACCGCGCATTGGAAAGCAAAACACAATTTATTAACATTACTTTACAACGAGTTACGGGTAAGAATTAACCAGACGGCTATCGCTAACATGTAGAAACAATAAATTTGAAACGATTTTGTATAAAGCGTGTCAACATCGTTTTTGTAAATTTAGAAACGTCGATAAGTAAGACAAGTAAATAATGTATTTTATGGAACTTTCATGAGATATTGGTGAGAAATATTATTTTGACCATGTCGAAATGCCATTATTGCCGATTTATTCACGTGTTTAGTTACTATCAGTGTTTTAACCCAAAGCTGAGTTACGTAAATACTTAACACTGAGTACTCAAGAGATAACCAATTTGCGGAGTTTTTCAATTATTATTTAATACGAAAGTAACACGACACGATCTAAAATTAAAAGCATAGAAATGTCAACTATCTGCTTCACAAATATCGCATCCCGGGGTCAGTAATAATATTATTGTTCGCTTAAACTCGGGACGTAATTTACGAACTGATACAAATCCTACACAGAAGATAAAAATCAGAACAAAATCAATTTTCGTTGTGAATGCGCTCATTAATAGTTGTCTTTAAAATCTTCGCCGATGTGAATTCACAATTCTATCCGAAATATAAAAACCAAACTACGATGCCGCCGTTACGTGAGAATTAATATTTGCTAGTGAATAAAAACATGCTTTAATATAGTTTAACAACACGATCGCGGCGACAAAAAATTTACTGCAGCCTTCGATTATGACAAAATTATGAAATAATCATTGAATGGCAATAAAAATTTAACTTCATTAACAATAATTTTCAAGTAATAGTTTCACATTTTCATGATTTTGATCGTCGCTACATGCGAGCGTGTTTTTGTACATATAAACCATGATGACACTACTGACATCTGCGAGTTATAGATCTCTCCAAATTTAATTTTCGCGATTTTTAATGTTTCATTTCTAGATGCGGATGCCCGCTGACTACGGATAAATGGTCGATGTTTTAAAATAGGACTTCGGACCGTTGGGCAAAGAGAGGCGGGCTACACGTAACTGCGAAATTTCGCCGTGAACGACCTTACATTTTAGTTATAAACGCATTACGTCGTCGCGAATTGCAGTTTTGGTGTAATGTTTTAACTTCCCCCTAATCTCCCGTTGAAAAAATCCTGGCTGCGCCCCTGCCCGGTGATAATTAGCTAAAATGTTACAATTTTATTTACGGAATTTGCAAATTCACCATTTTGATAATCACGCCCTAATTATTGGTGCAAAAATACTCAAAATATAACGAATTTAATCATTTCCGATGTTAATAGGCGCAATTCATGACGGAGACAGTGTGCGTTGTTACATCGAAATTCACGATCGATTTTACGTTATACTCTTGTTCACGATTTCAACACTCCACCGCCATGCATGGCTGAGTGGAAGGTTCACATTTTCGAAACATTACTTGGCCAAGGATGGGAGGATCACTAACGAGCTAATTGAAAGCACATTAAAAGGATTATGACTTGTCATTTTTTTCTGGTTATAGCCTGTACATGTTATACCGTGTGGGCTCTCGGAACGTCAATTTAACTTTTAATTTTCGACAATCAATGTATGTGCGGCTCCTACATGAAACGGCTAATTCATGCTGCCAATATACGGAGTTTGAAATCTGGGATATTTATTTCGAATAGTCTATTTATTTTGACTCTTCTAAAATTAGGAAGCTTTGTTGGTACCTTTTTTGGCGCAAAGTATGGAATTGAAACGATACGAATATTTTGCCCAGTCCTATAGGCGAGGTTATGATATTAACGCAGAGAATATTTGTAAGCTTGCGAACATCGGGGTTGGGCGGAATTATACGATTATGTTGTTGTTCTTAAATAATAACTTTTCCGATGAATGTTTATTTTACTTTTGTGTATTAATTATGATATGTTGAGTTTTCGTTTATTTCAAATTCGAAATTGTCCGGAATACTCAAACAGGTGTAATAAGTGTAATATTGATAGTATAGTGTAATCGAGTAACCAACTTAGAAGTCTTTAGAGATGTCTAATGAACTTGATGTGTTACGGGTGTCGTAACCCCCGTTTTTTTTTATTAAATTTGATTGTTCTACCTTCCGCTTATAAAACAACATCGTTATACAGTCATCTAAGGTAACTCTCGCGACCAAATCTTTTTGTTCTGTATGGAAACCTTAGCGCCATTTATTACCGACTGAATTTTAATTGTGTTTTATGATAAGTTATTTTCTGTTAGTTGGCGCTGATAACGTCGCTAATTTCTGTATAAACATGGAAAATTTTAAATATGTTCCTTACGTCTCTGCTATAATTGACAAGCGATAGCACAAGATTCAGCAGCAAATGATAAGCAAAGCTATTTTATAATCATGGGTTGCTTAATAAAGATTTGCTAATTATGGCAGGATATAAAGAACATGGCCTGAAATATATTATTAACAGAACGATGTTTATTTTTCAGTCGACGAAAACCCTTAATAATAACGATTGCCGAAATCGCGAAAAAAAGAAATACGGATTTTTGATTGTGATCAGATGACTGAGAGGGCACATGTTTTTTCTCTGTTCAAAGCAGATATAAAACGAATACCATGTTGCCGAAAAGCGGTTACGTGTTATCTTTCTTTAGCCAATCAAAATAGTGGTAATGGTATATATAAGGTTTCTAAACTTTCAAACTCGGAACGCAATTAATATTAAAATTACAAGTAATGGTGCATGGAAAAACGAATTTGATTTTATTGAAATTGAAACGCACACACATAAGAGTTTTACATTTCATGCACAACTAACCGGTGCTACACGTGAGATTTGTGCACATGAACGATTATATATCGCGATTATTTATGTGATAATGCTGCTCTTTCAACTTTAATTTCCAGGATTTCGGCGTTCACGTGGTCGACTAAAAAAGATTTATCAAATGGATTGGTATTTCGCGTCACACTCAAAATTATTTGAGA